ACTGTTATGTTTGCCAAATGGCAAGAACAGTGCCTGCTGAAACAGTGAAAGAGTCAACCTGGAAAAATAATAATTCATTCATTCTATGCTGATGTTAAATGGACTCAAAAATACAGACAGATCAAATTATTATTCCATGAAAAGAACAACTAACAGCAGTGTGGCTTTCTGCACTCCTCATCACAATCTACAACCCAATCTCGGTGTGTAAATCTTTCCAAGGCCCTAGGCTCAGACACATAAGCATCCCTTTTCTTCACAGCTTTCCCACAGTCATTCCCTTTACAAGACTTTACCCCAAATCAGCAGTACAAAACTTACTGGAAAGACTGATTTTGCTTTTCGGGTAACTTTGCTTATTTGCCATATTTAAGTTGTTTCTCATTTAATTTTCAGTATTTGTCGCTTATTCTACAGCCCATGCCTCTTAATGGACCTCTTCTGCATCCCAGCTGACTGCAACAGGAACCATCCTCTGAGAGCAATATAAATCTATTCCAGAGCAACTGCAGTTCCCCAATAAAAGCAGGACAGCCTGAGAGCATATGGGCATGGAATATCCCTAGCTAGCAAGACATGGTGAAAAGGTCACAGCTAGGCCAGAGAAAGCAACAGCAGGAAAAACTGAACAAAGAGAGGAAAGCTGTGATAGCTACAAACTTCAGAGGACATAAGTTGAAAGAGTCAGACTTGGGGTGATGGGATGCAGGGAGCTACATCTATGTATAAAGATTTTATATATACACAAACATATATAATGTATATATAGAAGACATATACATATACACACACACACATATAGCACATACAGTCCTCTTCAGACCTGGAGTTGATCTTTGGGTTTCTTGCTTATAGTATTCCCCTGCCTTTTCAAGTAGCTATGAGACCCACAGCTAACCTGTCTCTTCTGCTTATTTTCCTTAAGGAACAGCAGCCAATATTACTACTACTGTTTATTTGGCTAGTTCAAATGATAAACATATGCACCATGAATGTCAGGCATGGAGATCTGCCCATGCTGAGGTCAGTAGATTCTCACACAATATAATTGCTTTTTTCCTAAAAGTGCTTTAAAAGCAAGGCTACCACCTCCTTCCCCAGCTAATTACCCAGGAAAAGGAAACAAAAATGACAGATGCATTTAGAAGTATGTTAGCACTGCAAAATCAGAAGCAGAAAATCAGCATATTTTAGGATGGCCTTTGCCTATGCAACCTTAATTCAGTCCCTTGTGCACATTTTGTAAGCCTAGACACTGAAATTCTAGCTTCCCAAAGTCAGAGGGCTATCTGCTGTGGTCTTAAGAGATGCCAGTATTTCACCTGCGGTCTTCACCTACATGCTTATAAATTTCAGATGCTGATTTTGTCATGAGATTTTTTTCCCTCTTCTATTTACAGAGCTGTCTGAATGAAAGTAGTTTTTTTCCTTCTATATATATGGCCAGTGCCTTCTTTACTGCATACATATAAAGTCTACACTGAATAAAGGATTTACAATTCCTCTCCGCTGTTTTTCATCACAAAATCTTATAATTCTCCTGAGTCTTTACATGTGCTATGAAAGCATCTTTACACTGTGAAGCACTTGCATTACCAGTTCTGCTTTGTAAATTGGAAAAAGGATCACAGTGAAATACATACAGATTTGTATAATGCCCACTAATTCTAAGCTCTCAACTATGCATAGGTCTGATATATTCAGAAATCAACAGTGTTGTGTGTTTAGAGGAAAGTTTCTGTTCATTTTAGTTTCTGTTAGGAGCTTCCACCATTCCTGAAAATCAAGCTCCATTTCTTTCAAGGTAGGCACCCAAAAATATAAAGTTCACTCAGATTAGAGGTCACCCATAGAAAGTCTGATCTAATTGCCAAAACTATCAAAGGACACAGAACAGAAACTAGAAATCTGTCTACATTTCCTGGACTCACCATATAGCATGTGGGGGACAAATGAGAGCTAAATATAATGCTACCCTCTACCCAGAAGAAGTCTGAGCCTTCTTGGCTCACCTCACTTGGAAGCATCCTGACTACAAACCTCTAAACTTTCAGACTATTGTAAAACCCAAAGACAAATAAAAAATGCCAGATCAAAACTCACTGTTCCTTTCATGGGTGAAATATGCAATAAAGTCAATAGGAGTGCTGTTAGTCAAACAAGGACCAGGTTTTGTTCAGGTAATACATACTTGCTGGAACATCATGTGATGTTCAAGTACAGCTATGCACTAGAAATCAAGGATTTACTGATTTAACACTTGACTTCTTTGTCCTTCTTGAAGTTTTCCTATGACATCATCTTTGATTGCTCTCATTGATTAACTCTCTGAATCTGTCTCTGTGAGGTATCTTTCCCATGGTTTTTGTGGATTGTTAAATTAAATGAATGGTTTAGTGACAAACTGATAGGTATTAATCAATTGACTAAAACAACTGCATGGAGAATGCATGCAGAGAGAATGCATGCAGAGAATAGGCTTGGAAGTGGCTTCTAGTAATCAGAAGTGGAAGTCTCATCAGTATGCTGATGATAAGAGAGATAACAAATAGCTTATCTAGGAGCTGATCTGGACCCAGGTGTACTACTCAATTCATATGAAAGTGATATGTCAGGAGCAAATGCATTTGGTGACTCAGTCAGCTGCAATTGACCATAATGAGTTGAATCTCTTCTGAAAGGCATCAGTTGTATATGTTAACCTGACGACAAATACTACACGTCTTGAACCTAATCCAGAAAAAGGAAGAAGCATTGAAAGAGATATCTGTGGGAAACTGCAGATAGGATTTTGTATATAATGCATGATGATGTACTTAAGCTATGTAAATTAACACAATCATTAATCTTGAGATTTCCTTATTTCTTTGCTATTAAGGATCAGGGATATTTGTAGCTTTTGTTTACAAAGAGTAGTATTTTACCTGAAACACTCTTAAAAAAGGACTTAAAAATCAGTGTTATATCAGAGTCACAAATCCCTTGAGGATGGACAAAGACAAAATAAAAGAGCCTTCATTGCCCAGGAACTCATTTATAAGGAACCTAACTGACAAAAATTGGATTTAAAGGTAGCTCTTAACTAGAGTGGGTATTCATAACACAGGTTTTATTAGTCACATCTTCGTGTATGGCAGAAGTATTTCCTGTTCTGAATGTGTTTCTTACAACCTGTTTGTATACATTACCTAGAAACAGAAATCATAGAAAAACAGTGATCTGCAATGCTCAGTCCAAGGGCCAGAGTAAACAGCCTTGGCATTTGGACTCTCCAGGTGCCCAGCTCTGCAGGGCATCAAGCCAGCTTCTCCACTCACTATGCCTCACTATGCAATTTTCTTCACTCTACACAGCCACCAACATAGTGTGCATGACAGGGATGCAGTCACTGCACATGTGCCACATTGCACGGTCCTGGAGGAGAAGAGCAATAAAAGCCAAAGGTTACTAGGCTCCCTACACAATGAGATGTTCATGTTCCTAAAGTGAGTCTAAAATGGTAAACCAAAAAGAATAGCAGAGAGGAGTCCAGATAGTGGAACAGGGCTCTGGGACCCAAGTGCCAACGGACCTTCTCAGAAACCAGGACCACCTTTGCATTTACATTCAGGCACTTAGAAATCTGCTGTACAAGCAAGCAAACATCTGGGTGAATATTTGCATCCATACTGAATCTGGTATAAGGAAATACACTAAGTGATCAGTCAAGGATGATCAGTGCAGCTGAAAGCCTGAGGGAAACCTTCTATAAAGGTTACAGTGTACTTGTGGTGACATTTTCAAATGCAAACTCAACAGTTACACACCTTCACAACAAACACAAGCTGAGTCTTCCTGAAAAGCCTGCAACAGAAGGAAGAGCACACAAACCCCAGGTAATTATAGCCTAGGGGTCCATTATATATTATATTAATTTAGTGATACTGCAACACCAATGCAGATTTTGCTGAGCACCATTAATTCCGGGGTATGCTATAGCTGTGACAGTAAATTCTGAAGTTGCTCCTCAGCCTTTTATCCAGCTAAAATTCCCATTTAAGCCATGGGAAAAATTTGCACCAAGAGAGATTAAATATAGCAGCTCTCATATCTTTTCTGCTGGAGACACCACTCCCTGGCCTTTGACCTGCCTCTGTGATATGAGTGTCAGTCCTCATCTGAATTTCTGGAGGGCTCGTAATGCTCACAGAGCTGTCACACAGGGCTCACAACCCTACACAGGACATCCACTAAGCTGACAGTTTAGTCTGGACATGACTGGAACTGCTGATCACACCAGTGACTGGCTGCTCCATGACATCTCTATATTATTCCTGCTCTAGCAAAAAAAAAAAAAAAAAAAGTGAAAATATTGTATTGCCTGCACTGAAAATTTTCTTAACTCAATGATGACCTTTTGTCAATTCTTATTGACTGATGGGAAGTCATCAGTGACTGAGTAAATGAAGCTACATTCTAACACGTGGGCTTGGTCATCTATTTTGACAGCCAAATAATGGTTTAGTTTTCATCATAGTGTATTAGTGAATGACAATAGCTAGCAAAAAGAAAAACAAAAATAAAAAGGTCTGATTTCACCACAGAAAATGAGACATTCAAAGAGACTTACTGGGTTTGTAAAATTAACTAAGGTAGAACTGAGAATCTCCTACCCCAGTTTTACTGTTCTTTTGAAATGGAGGACAAACCAGTTCTAGACTCAAGCATTTTTAATCTGAATACATACATCAGAACTGAAGCCCTGCCCTTATTCCATTACACAAACCAGTAACTTCCAAAGGCAGGGTGGAAGCTGGGATCAAGGACTCTTATCTCCAGTGTTCATCTGAGACCAAGTACATCTGAGACAGAATACCATGCTTTACTATTCCACTTAATTTAGATTCCACAGATTAATTTACAAGAACTTCAATCAGAGACACAAAACAGAAAAGAAACTAAGGTGGAAGCATCAGTTAACATTAGTTCCTCATATATATTCTAAATTGTCATACCATTACCTGTAGTAGCACTGGACACTGTTGGCCACTGTTGATCAGGCCCTCCTGGTCCACCACGTAGGATTCCTGCCTCCTCCATATGCACAGCACTGAAGAAGCACATATCATCATTAGATTATACAGTTCCCTTCTGCCCCAGGCTTTATAACATCTCCCTTTTCATAGCCATTTGTAGTATTGCATGATGCTAACAAATTCTTCTGGAGCATGGAGAACTGCTTTGACTTGCACAAGTTATCTTTGATTATTTACTAAAACTTAATTGTGGCAGAGTTTGTAAAAACAAACATACCTGCAGGACACTTTGCTTTCATTGACTGGAAGTCACTAACAAGGAAGTTACACACCTTCTTTGCCATTACAAGCAAATGATGAAGTGTTGGTGGGGTTACTTCTAAGCTGCTGTCATTATGCTACTTTAACAGATCCCACCTTCCTGGGTTATTGCATGCTCCTCACGAGCAATTCAGGAGAAATACATTTTCTCAAATGTGGAAACTAACACAGCAAATTTTACAGTGTCACATCAAGAGCACTTGGCATTGAATGCACCATTCTGGGTAATAACCAGCACCTTAAATGAAGGAAAAGAAAAAAAATCTGCTACCTTTAATACAAAACTAGACACATTTGTGTGTAATTCCTTAGAAAAACAGGATTCTGTGACTGTGCCCATCTCTGCTTATCTGCTTCTCAGCTCCCTTCCACACTCCTAGTTGAACTTAATGGGCAGTTTCAGCAAAGCACAGCAGACATCAAGGTTCCTGGGGATACCAAATTTCTACAAGTTTTATGACAAATCAGCTTTTTACAAAAATCATCAGTTGGGCAGGTCACACAGGTGCAGATCAGGTAAAGACAAGACTACTGATGGAGAGATGTAAGGAACACAACTTCATTAGCTTCCCTATGTGAATTAGCTCCCCAAAGTGAATTGCTTTAAATAAGTGCTGACTTTTCATTAATTGTTCAAGTAACTTCAGGCAAGATCCTGATCTTTGTATGGAAAGGAATATGAATCCATGGGATTTAGTTCGAATACACAAGAGCACACCTAACTCTGAGGACCGGTAGGTAAGATGCAGAATTCCTGCTTCAGCATCCTGCTCCCAGACTGTTTTTTCATTTTGAATAAAGCAGTCACAGATTAAAAGAGCTCAACACAATAGCAGAAAAATAAAAAAAGAAACCAGTTTGCACAACAGGCCACAGAATCAAGCTTGCTCTTGCTTCCTTTCCTTCTGGATCCTGAGGTTTAGGTTCCTTGGTACACAGTAACCCAAAGTCAGCTGTCCACGTTAGACAGAGGACACCGTCCTCTAAATAAATCCAGTCTAAGGAAATCTGGACACAGCCCCAGTTTTCCTTTTTTGAAAATCCTTCTCATATCTTCAAAACACGCTTTAAACTGCATTAATCATCTTGATTGCACCATGTGGTTAACAAACCAACTGCAGGAGCAGCACACTTCTATGGTAACAAGAAACAAGATAGAAAATACATCAATGCTGCAGTCTATTGAAAAGTATCAGTATTGATGATTACAGGGAGCTTTAAAGTAAACAAAAAGCATATAATCACAGTTAAATAATTCAATATTGTAGCAATTATGCCTTGACAGTCAATGTATCTAAAGGCAGGAAGCAAACACAAAAAAAGCACAGATCTATAGCAGTACAGTAACAACGTAAAATGCAGTCAGATTGAATCTGTAACATTTGGAGACTGGAAGTGACAGCAGAACTTGGTTGCTTTCCATCTCAGCACAGCTATCCTCAGACTAGGGCATCAGAGGAGCCAGATAGCTTTGTCCTTTTCACAGAGGACAAACACAATCCCCCTTCATGTGGGGAAACATCATACATACCTTTGCATTCCAGCCCTTAGGGATGCAGAGTAGCGCCAGTCAGGATTGGGATGTTTTGGCTGTAGAAACAAAAGCCCAGGAGAACATTGTTAATGTATGTTAAACAAGTTGAAAAGGATATGCATCTGAATGATTTTGTCAGAAAAGTCTACCTGGAGCTACACAAGTTTTGGGAACATTCAGAACTGCCAAATCTTTCTACATATCTAGAGAAACTTTCAAATGGACACACAGAGAGCCTCTATGTAATAGAGAAACTTGTTTGCATGCCAAGGCCTTTGGCTAGAGATGATCTCTGTGGCATGACATTTAATGCTGGAAACTGGTGGACAGTCATTTTGTACATTTATCAACACTCTGGGCTTAGGAAAAAAAACTACACCATAAATCCATAAAACATGTTGTTTGTTTTCCTGATAAACTGAGGAAACTTGAGCTCCTGCACTGAACAGCATCTGTCTGAGGATATATAAAATGCAGCCCCCTGTGAAGGGGACATGCGGTGCGGTCTGTCTGCTGTGAGGTTTCTGCTGGCATTCAGTGTACTGCAAAGGACTGCACTAGATTGTATCAGATTTCCAGTCTGCAGCAAGTCTTTTATCCAATGCAGACAGCTTTTGTAACACCAAGAACCATTATATTTTCCGTATTTGTGGAAGGGGAAAATAGCCAGCAATACCCTTTGACCAACAAACCTCAGTATGTGCTGCAGTGCTGCAGCATGGCTTGCTAAATAAGGAGATAATTAAGAAATCCTAAGTTGATAAAAAATTGCTTAAGTTGTTTTTTTTTTTTTTTTTTTTGCATTGTCAGGGAACCATCAAAATAATTTTTAATGCAAGTTCAGGTCTTTCAAAATTAAGCCCTAAGCACACAACAAGGTTATTTCTCAGGATTCTCAAGACATTCTGTAAGTAATATCGCAGCCACTGCTGAACTTCAGGCACCTGAATTCAAAAAGAGAAATTATGCCCAGAAAAATAATGGACTATGCTTATTCCTGGTCTCTTGTACAGTGCCAAACACACAAATAATATACAACAGTGATGGTTTAATTGTCTTAAGTTATTGGAGGCAGATCAGAAATGAATTTGGTCCCATTACTTGAAAGAGAAAAAGAAAGTGTTGAATGCTCTGAATTATTTAAAGCCAATTCTGTCTTTTCTCTTGAGGTCTGGGGTATGCTTTTCCCTGGATCAATAGGTTTTATTCAAACAAAAATGGAGCAATTACAACTTACACTATCACTATATCACCATATTTCTTGGGCCCATCATCACTCAAGAGTGAGATGCTCTTGGATGATGTGCATCCTAATACTTTTTATGGTCCAAGTTACACAAAAAGGAGGAGGCTGCCATTTGCAACCACACATTAAACATCTGTGCTAAGCAATTTCCTTCCCATTTAGCCCCAGTTCTCTGGTATGCTCAGGCTCTGCTGAGTTTAGCAGAAAGTGGCTTGACAAGGAGCCCATTATGCATGGTTCCAGTATTTTCTGATTCATTCCATTTTGGCCCCAGTCCCAGGGATGTCAAAGCAACTCTGAAGTCAACCATGTAGTAAGAGTCAATGAGTGCAGATAGAAAAAAATACACTGATCAGACCCACTTCTGAGTTTTACTTTCTTGACATATGAAGGGTGCTGAAGGTTTGGCTTTTCCTCTGCTGGGGATTTTCTTACAGCAGAGGAACTGCTGGTCTGAGGGTGGGAGGAAAGCCCCTTTGTCTTTTTGCAATGGAAGTGGTGCAGGTTACTGATTTGTACAGGCCTATAATCAGGGTGAGGAGGAGGAATCTTACCACGGTTCCAGGCAAAACACAGATAAAGTGGGATTACATCAAAGAGCTGGAAAAGTCTAACATGAGCCAAGTAGGAGTGAGAAAATAAGAAAATGACCACTTCCTCATAGTATACAGATTTTTGGTTTTCAGATGAGAGCTTTCCAGCTCTTGGCTAGAGCTGGGTTTTTTTGCAGTCGGAACTTTCAGACATCATAAAATAAATGGGTGATGATGGCAAGAGAAACTCATCAGTTAGGAATTCATAATTTATTCACTTCACATGCATAGACCAACATTCATCATGTCACTATAACAGAGCAGCAACTAGGAGATGGTGGTATTTTCAAGAGTTACTATCCACAAGCTGTGGCATCTTGTGGCTACTCCTAAACAGTTTTCTGCTTGCTACCACTCTTCAAGCAGGTCTGTAGTGCTGCTCCTAGAGGAGCAGAAAAAGGAAGGATGAGACAGGATCACAAAAATATACTCTGGAGATGGAAAGATTATTGCCACAGTTGACTTTTAGACCTTTGAGGGGCTGGGGTTTTGTTGTTATTAACTGTGAAAAATTCAATGTCCAGGGCTTCTCTAATTTTTCAAGTCTTCACAGGAAGAACAGGAGGAGCAGGCAGTTGGGTAGCAGCCTACCTTTGTCCAGACCTATTCACATCTAATTTTACCATGTGCACACTGGTAATGCAGACTGAGATCTTTTAGACCTCAGCAAGAGACACGTTTGTCCTACACTTGTCTTACAACGGGCTAATGTCCTGCAACTGGCAAAAATGGTGGAATTCCAATTTTGTCAGTGTACCTGGCTTCTCTTTTTGTTCTACTGTAGACTGTAATTCTTTAAGACCCTCTGTCATAACACAAAAGTTTTTCAATACAGCTTTAAATAACATTGGGCAATTAGGAGCAAGAAAGACAAAATAAACAGGACCACTAACAGAAGTGACAGCATAGCAGAGACAGCAAACCTGCTCAACAATATTTTTCCCCAGATCAGACACAGCAGTGTTGCTTCTTATACCCCCATCAGGCATTCATGATCTGCCTGGTTGGGTTGGCTTATGTTTCTGGTTAAGAACAGTCCACCTTTACCTGACCACCCACTGAAACCTGCCACATTTGACAAGTGCTGTCACCCAGCACACAGTCACAGTGCCATGGCATGATATGGCCCATCTCAAAGTAGAAACGTGTCTTCAGCATAGTCCCAGGGGACTGGAGTCTGCCCAGGAGCTGTCAATGGGCTCCTCTACAAAACCCTGTCACAGACTTTGCTGTGAGAAGTGTAGCTGTGTCATAAATCAACACCACTAAGACAAGACACAGCTGGCCAGGAAGCATGAGCACAGAGAGGAAACCCAAAGAGGAATACAGACTTTGAAGTGTTCCAGATGCTTCCCACCTGTATATCCCTGTACACTTACTATGTCACATCATGTTGATGTAAAGTCACACAATCCAGCACAAAACTAATAATCATTTCCCCTTTCTCCCATCACCTGCTTTTCCTGATTTAGTACCAGCACACATCATCATACTTGTAAGATGAGTCAAAATCTATCCAGGCACCTAGAGAAGTGTCTGTCATCACACCAGTTGAACACCTCATGCCAACATTCCAGTCACCAAGGTTACATTCTGCTACCCACATAACCACAAGCATTATGTAACTAGTAATAAGCAACCAACCTTACCAGAAAGTCTGATAAGCAAAGTGAATGTAATATAAAATGAAGCCACCCTAGTAGCAAAAAACCTCATGCAAAATTTCACACAGTTGTTTTCATATGGCACGGAATGGGTTAATTTAAGAATCATTGCATTGATTCATGGAGAATAAATTTACTTGAAAGTAGATTGTTGCAAACATTTTGTTCAGTTCTCATTTTTAGCTGACACTTCAACACAGTGAGGATTTGCCCCTGGAACAGAAGGGATTTCTAAAATCTGTTAATGTTGTCCTGTTATGAAAATCAATGCAAAGGCTACCATTCACTTCAGCAGCTGCTAAAACAGGGCCTGCTAGAGGTAGAATCAAATATTTGCAAACAGTTACCAGGTGATACGACTGCTAAAGACACCCCACTCCATTCCTATTTCCATACAAATGCACAACAGAATGATATAAGGTATATTTATCAAATACATCCACTTTGAAGCAATAATAAAAGGCCTTTCAGCACCCCTGACCGCATGCAGCTCTGCTTGTTTCACAGTGAGTCACTACTGACAGATGTGGGGAAACAGAGCCTTCTATTTCTGATTTCCTTCAGTAAATGTTTAGAATTAATTTGATGCGGGGAACAAACTATTTATATGCTTAACATGTATTTATTATACAAGAAGCCAGAATGGAAACTAGAAAAGGATGCAATTCAGAAATCCAAAGATTTTAGCCCCAGCAGTGTTCATTTCCATTCCTAACTGAGAAAACAAAGGTGAAGGGAAAAGGCAAGTGCTTCTGTAAATATCTTTAATGAGTACCAAGAGAAGAAAACCGCCTCTGCTTAAGACTCTATGCAAATTTCTGCTGCCACAGCAGAAAGCATCAAACCAAGAGCGTGACTGTGCTGAAGCACAGAGCAAAACAGGTTCAGATACTGCCACTAAACAAAAGAACATTTATAGTTAACCTTTACAATGTCAGGGGGCTGGAGAATTTCTTAAAGGCTTAAGTTCTTGAACTGAGATTGTAAGATATTCCACCTTTAATACCTTTAAAGCCTCTGTGAGAAATCTCTTGGAAAGACTGCTCCAGACAATGCTGTGGGTTTACTGGATTTAGACACTTCAAAACATGCTTGCATTTTAAAGCACTATCAAGATGTGTTCACTTCAAGCGTTGTTTTTTTCTGTATGCTTAACAAGCTTCTTTTGAAGTTCAAAATACAGAGAAAGAAGAAGGAGTAAACAGCTGTAAAACTCCAATGAACTCCTGAATGTTACTGTCACTAATGTGCAGCTTTTGTTATGCTTTCTGAAAAGTGTCCATAGAGCATCATGCAAATTTATTTCTGAACATCACATGAAGCATCATATTTTGTCAACCAGATGTATCACCACACAAAAAAAGGGTACAAGGAAATGTATAATTAGAAGAGTTTATATGTAGTTATATGAAGTATCCACGCAGCCCACCCATTATTAGGAATCTGCCAGCCTGCCTCTTGGGAGAGAAAACTCCTGTTAAAGCCTGTTGGCTTCATTGTTATTCCCTGTATTAAAGGGAAAAAGATTGTCACGAGATGCAAGACATAATGGA